TTAAAAAATTTTCCAAGTCCCACCGTACAGAAATCTTGGCATGATGATGGTAACTCTTTCTTGTTATGCTGAGCTTACACCAAGATTATAACACTTCTCCTCCATAAAAAAGGCAACACTGGGTCTGATCACGAGTAAACGTTAAACATTGAATTAACCTTGAGATTGACTGCGCTGATATTGAGCTTTGGAATAGGATCAATGCATACAAGTCCTATTCACGACTAATACGCGACAGTTTTTGATACTTGTGATGCAAGAATGTGAGACTGATTGGATATCAAATTCACGAATAGGTTAGCAAACTTTGATTGGCAACATATGGGTACATCGTATAAGGAACAACACATAATTTAATTCTAATATTGAAGCAATGGCACATACATTAATCGCCTTGTTTTTGTTGGTCGGTCAAACGGGACAGACTTCACAGCAAGAAAAGTCTTTAAGATTATAGACTGGAGTTAGTTTTGGGGTCTTCAAATAAAGTCTTTGTGCTTACTTAGCTTGGATACTTAGATACTCAGATGGCCTGTCTTCCCTCGTCGCGCAGGCCCCAGCATTGTTTTCATCCGTCTCTGTCTCTCGCTAGCGTCATTTACGATTTTGGCATTGAGATGCGGCGACGCTCGCGAGGTCCAGGTCCATTACTCGTTATCAACTGAGAATTCTGGTCCATACGTGCAATGAGTACGTCACCCATCTCTATCGGTGGCCTCCCTCGGTTTTGCTTTCCATTCCACAGTTCTTAGTGTCCATCTGTCCTCTGTGACTTATCCCACTGGATCGCAGATGAGAAATTGATCTCATATCTAAACTGCAAAGTCCGACGAGATGTTGAGCGCATTGGTTGTACTTCAGAAGTCGTTCTTGCGCTCTATGGGTTTTTCGGAGTGCTTTCGACGTAGCCACAGAGTCAGGCCACGTCTCTGATGCGTAAGAGAGCGCAGAGAGAATAGTTGAATCGAACAGATGGGCTCAGAGCTGTGGGTCCGTCAGTTGATCTGTGGTTTCCTTTAGGGACCCGAAAGCGCCCAAGCTGTTCTTTGCCTCTATTTAATTCTTTCAGATCGTCCTCCATGTTCATCGAACGGAAGAAGACGTTTCCGCGACCGGAGAGTCAAATCTATTGATCCAAAAAGCGTTTTAATGAACTGAGTCTTCTTCCGGTTTTTCGTAATCCTATCCGCCTCCCTGCTTCAGTTATTTTAACATCGTATTTGCTTCAGTGGTATTTCTCAAGAAGAGAATGTCGTTCGCAAAAGGAAGGTTCGAGAGGAAGCTCTCATCAACTAGTGTCTTTTCCAATCCAGTGATTTCATTATCCACTGCAAGGCGGCGGTAAACAGCTTTGACGACACGGTGTCGCCTTGTCGAACCCCTTTCGGAATTGGTATTTTAAGGGCAAAATGGAAAAGCTGCATCGTTGTAGAGCAGTTTTTGTAGCAGTCGGCCAATATTCTCACGTAAGATGGGTCCACCCCTTGATCGACAAGCGCTGACAGCATAGCTAGTCTAGATGCTGCCAAACGTTTCTCATAGTCGACGAAGGTAAGGACGAGAGGTAGACGGTACTCTTGACAAACCTCGATAGTCCTCAAAACCGTCTGGATGTGGTCCACGCAGCTGAATCCCTCGTGAAGCCTGTTCTACAGGTTGAGCTTCATCCAGTGTCATTAATATACGAATGAGAATCATCTTTGTGAAGATCTTGTAAAGCACTTTCATCAGGCATATTGGACAGTAGTCCCGAATTTCCTCCTTATCGCCCTTCTCATGAAGCAGGACTGCTCGGGGGATCCTTACCTTTTAAGCATTAGGTGTGCAGCAAGTATCTTGTGAGGGCGATACCCTTCAGCTCGTAAGAGGTCGACCGAAACATGGTCCGGTCCTTAGCTGTGGCTGCCTTCATGGTCTGAATTGCGACGCGTACTTCAGCAGGTAGAATCCTTGGGTATTTCTCTAGTGGAAATAACGGGTGTTGACGAGCGAATGAGATTGGTGTAGAATCTCTTCGTGATCGATTCCATCTTTGCAAGATGTGCGAGTCCAGTCTTCGTTTTAATGTTGTCAGCGGGACACGATAGTCGAGAAGGTCCCTGGGGT